TCTCGTGCGTGTTCCTGCAATGCGACATTATGCTCTGTAATGTTGTATAGGTCAGTAAATAGTCCATTACCAGCGTCTCATGGAGCGTCATTTCACAAAAGGATTGGGGGGAAGGCGTCAAAGAAGACCGACCTCGCTTGAGTTTCCCCAGTTAAGCTGTGGGCCTTGTGCTATGACGTAATTTGCGTATATGGGTTAGTCTGGCCTGACTAGAAAAGTGTCACAGAAATTGTCCTACGGGTCCTCTTCCGAGCTTGAGGGGGTAGCCTCCCCTCCCAAATGATGCCCTTGCCCATGTGTGTTGAGTATATGTTCTTGCCTTGCGACATTAACTTCTGTAGAGTTGTATAGAATTGGTGTATTATTAGTTGCTTATTTTCTTATAATTAAACAGTATGTTGTATAACGTTGTATAGGCTAGTAAGAAGTGGTTGTGTATCCAGCCTCTACTGTGTTTAGCGTTTGTTCATTAAATGCAACATTATATAATATAATTCTATATAGGCCAGTAAGTAGGCAATAGTGTGTTTAGTGAATGTTTACAATGCAACATTACGTTTTGTAACGTTTCATAGGCCAGTAAGAAGTAGTGTGTTAAATTTAAGATGCGAATTTGTACTTTCAGGCCTCTGTGGATGTGAAACATATAAATAATGCTATTTCGTTGTTTTTATATACTTCTTGTGCGAAGATTAGAAAATGTACTTTAAAGTTATATTAGTGGCAAGTTGTGGAATGTATTGTTATCTTCAAAATGTTAGTTTTTTCGTTATAAGTAAATGTCGATAATGTATTATGTATGTCTTTGTTCACAACTATTATATTACATATTTGTAAGGGTTTCTTTTAACTTGAATTTCTTATCAATCAGAAGTAAAACACATCTGTGCAGTGGTGAAAATAACTAATTTGTAACCGAAAAGGTAGCAGTGTTTTGCACCCATCCATTTACACATTTTATACAAATCACTACTGCTAATTTATGCGAACCGAGGTTTCAAAAATTTGAATATATGTGTTAAAACTAACAGCTACTACACGTAATAGAAATAAGGTCAATTTAAGATTAATTAGAATGGAATCAAAAATATTCCCCAAATCACATGAATGCGTCTCACCTGAAAAGCTATGAAGCTTTATGTGTCGTATTTTTTCACAACACCCAGCAATATCGGTAAAAACCGTTACAATACGTCGAAACATAAAATGATTTGTCAGTACAGCGTACCGACAATAACATTCGTATCGTTACGCGTACCGGACTGGCTTACTTCTACCGTTGTAGCTGTGATAAAAGTCTAGAGAGCAATTGTCCCCCCCCCCCACAATAGGACAGCGGTATGTTTACGGACTTATAACGCTAGAAATCGGGTTTCGATACCCGTGATGGGCAGAGCACAGATAGCCCATTGTGCATAAATTCAAACAAGCAAACTAGAAAGCAAAGCCCAGTTTTGTAAATGTATCGTAGAGTGCCCTAGCACTCTCTCTAAACAATTAAATCAATACAAAAGTCATTTGGATTTTCTTTTCTACAGGTCATCAGAATCTAGATATGAAGAGCTACCTAGCATTGTCGCTGTATCTCCTATGTATATGCTGCTTTTCAGCTTTCCAGAGCTTCCCAAAATTGAAAACCGGCGAATATCCACAACCTAGATTTCTTATTTTCGATCATCAATATATTTCTTCAACAGGCCTAGCGCCTACCTAGTTCCAGCAGTAACTATAATTCATTTGATAGAGCAAAACAGTCTTCACGATCTATGACTACCTAATTTGTTATTATTATATGCAAAACTTATAAAGCTTTAGAATACACTATATAACCTAGTAACTCACGTACGCCATCTTATAATAAAAAGTTCAATAGCTTTTTTTATTTAGTGATATTTTTTTTCTAATATTTTTTGTCTATGTTCTTTTGAGGAAGCTTGTGGTTTCATAAAATTACAACAATATGATGAACCACTCGTAGAACAGCTGTTTAATCGGTCTTTGTACGACATTATGTTTTCTTTTATGGTAAAAATAAATGAAACATTTCGAACTAATTATGGTTTATGTCTGTAAAGATGTCCCATGAAATACTAGGCGAACAACGTGTGTTCGACTATCTACGTAGTTTCTATTTATGACACCCTTAGTAATAGATAAAAACGATGACAGGGATTTAGTTTTTAAAGGAAAGAAACTTTCCCAAACTGTGGTGTTTAGGTATATTAATATCCCCCTTCGCGATAAATTGTTTGCCGAGATCGTGAATTTGATAAATGTTGAAAGATTGATCATATATTTCACTATGGCGGATATGAAGACTGTAGAAATGTCTGGAGGGCCAAGAGGCAGAGAGAAGATCAAGGCCGATGATGTCATTGAAGAGAACAAGCTAAGCGACAAACTTTCGACAAAGCACATCGTAACAAACACCCCGTGATCAGGGTCTCCTAATGACTGGGATCTGTAAATCCAATACCAAGGCCGGGATCATTAATATTCAAGTGCTATAGAATTTGATGTGGGGGAAACGGGTAGAATCCTTAGTGATATAATGAATGATGCAGTGCTATTAAGATATTTTGTCTTACTTCCGCATGCAAACACAGTTTCGATATACCAAACAAGAGGTATTTAGACTGATGTTTTAGTGAGCGGCTATAATATATTCCAGGAGTAGTTCTAAGTACATAGTCTTTGTAAACGAACTTTTTAAATATATTCATGTCTTAATATATGTAGATATATAATTCGATCACTTAGAAATGCTTCTCTTTAAATGTGTCTTGTCCACGGATATCTTTATATGTTACAGTTTTTTCTTTTTGAAAAAAAATAGAAGGCGAAAACTGTTAAATCACCTTCTCTTTGTAACTTTTTTTTTTGTGGCAATCCTTATGTCAGTGTCGTCCATTTTAACTTAAAAAATTCCCATATGCTGTCCGGTCAAAATTAATTCTGTCTGGTAAGGAAGACAAGAAAATAGTGATTTTAAAGTATCTCCCAATAATAAATATTCATAGATCATTGTTTAGGAACGTTTTGTTGCGAGGCTAGCCTAATTTTTGTAAACAAATGCTATAAAAAATAGTCCTCCTGTGAGTCAGCGGTAGGTTTACGGAAAATCCGGGGTTTGATTCTCCATAGTAGGCAGAGCGCAGATAGCCTATAGCGTAGCATTGCGCTGAAACATCAATAAATAAAGCATAACTTACTGAGTAGTTTGTGAACAGATGTTTTATTACATATTGTGTTTGTGTGTGTGTAATAGCAGAGTACATTTATATACATAACCATTTTGTCCATCTGATCAACCAGAGTAATAAAATGAGTCATCCATGTTTTCCAAAGTATTAATAGAATTGTTTGTTTGTTTTTTTAATTTCACGCAAAGCTACACGAGGGCTATCTGCGATAGCCGTTCCTAATTTAGCAGTGAAAGGGAAGGCAGCTAGTCATCACCACCCATCGCCAACTCTTGGGTACTCTTTTACCAACGAATAGTGGGATTAACCGTAACATTATAACGTCCCCACGGCTGGAAGGGCGAGCATGTTTGTTGGGAAGGGGATTCGAACCCGCGACCCTCAGATTGCTTAATGTATTTCGTTGATCGAATGAACACATTCAATGTTAGAATCTTTTAAGTTTATAGTATTCTGCAGTTCTGATAAAACTATAGTTGATTTTAATGTGATAGATAACATTGTGTAAAGAACGGTTTCATTATTGTCTACATTTTTCTAGCAATAAGTCTACGAACTTACAATGCTTTAAAAAAACAACCACCAATCAACTACTGTCTGTTACCACTTTCAGACTTAATCGCACTTGTTTATAAATAGAAAGATTATATGAAACAGCAAAATCTAAGGTGATAAACAATGTACTATTAATGCGCACAGTGGAATGCGCCGGGGTGGGAGTGGGGGGTCTATTCATTATTACCGGATATAGGACCTCCTGTGGTGATGTAGTGTTTCAGATCCGAACATTGCCTCCCAGATTAACCCTCGTGGCTTTAAGGGTATCTACCAGGTTTGGTGACAATCACTCGAGCGGTTCTTCAGTTATAAGCGGGCACACAAAGGTTGTTGATGTCAACTGTACTTTTCGAAATTTCTATCTAATTCCAGTCATCACGCTTCGGGATACTATTATGTAGAAACAACTGAACTTTTCTTATGGTGTTCTTATAATCTGAACTGTTACCACAGTTGTTTATCACTGTAACCTGACGTGTAATTCCCCTGAAGGGGGACAAAAACCGCCTGGAGGGGTCACCTGTTTTAACCACTCGCTCCAGTAGTGTTGTCTGTCAGTCAGTCAATTGGCACTAAAATTACGTCACATAAGGGACGCTCAACATTCTAATTTGTACTGTCGTGACATCAGTAAAACGTGCGTATGCCATGAATCATGAGAAGAATTATGCTCTCTGTAGGCTACAACACAACATGACATATTAACTTCAAAAGCAAGAAACACAAATATTTGTTACTCTTAGTTTTGGTTTTACTTACTCTTGAAACGGAATACCTTCGGGGACTCTGCGGAAGTATATCGAGTATATTTTTCTGTATGAACTCTGTGAATTTCAAAACTAAATCTAACTATTGCAAATACTTAGCTACTAGAGTACTGAGCAGAATAACGTAACAAAAGTTTTATAATTGAATTGTTGTACCGAACAGAAACGTGTTGAGTTAACATACTTGTAACATTCGATTTTTTGCGATTGTTGAAACGTAAAACCAGGTATGTTTACAAATCCTCCCTCACGATGTATAGAAATGTAAAAGTCATCGTATTATTTATCTTCCTTTTTAGTTTTATCGTAATAACGAGTTTTTTACTCTGCTTATTTTATATAAACTGTTTTCGTTTCATGTACCAAAATAGTATCATTTGCAGTTAAACTGCTGGTGATGACATTGCTCTAGGTTTTCAGGTTTCTTTTCTAATATATTTCTGGGTAGTTTATAACTATTTTTATTCATTAGGTTCTTTCTTTGGGAACTGATGTCCTTCCAGAATACAAGATCCAGAAGCCTCATGTTCACAAGTGGACCATCCTCCACTACTCCCCTTTTAAGGCCTTCTGGGATTGGATAATTCTTATTCTGGTCATCTACACCGCCATCTTCACCCCATATGTCGCTGCGTTTTTGCTGAATGAGAGCAAACCCAAGCGCAATAAGAAGTATGGTGATGACCCTATTGTCATCATTGATCTTATAGTCGACGTCATGTTCATAATTGATATACTCATTAACTTTCGCACCACATACGTCAACTCCAACGAAGAAGTGGTCAGTCATCCAAGCAGGATCGCAGTGCATTACCTTCGTGGCTGGTTCATCATTGATCTTGTGGCAGCCATTCCGTTCGATCTTCTGCTTTTCGGATCCGAGACTGACGAGGTACGAGTAGCATATATATATATAAATCTTCATTGTTCTTAAAAATGATAAAACTTTTCATTATCAGTAAATTGCATGTTGTGTTTTTCTATCTGTGGTAAACAGAAATATTGTTGCAAAATTCTGTCACCAAAACTTCTTGAAAAAATAGAACATGCTTTATATCTCAGTACATACTAGTTAAATAAACGTTAACTATGATCTTATAGAAATGTTCAAGCTCTTATTGACGTATCATCTGCACTTTTGCTATTGGTAATTTATAACATTTCTAAACATCATACTTAACTCTCATTAACATGACCACTTTTCAGTCTTAATTCGAAATTATTAGTCAGAAAGCAGTAAAATTATAGTAATGTATCCAAACAGTAAAGAATTGTTGTATTGTACTAGCCAAAGTTATATTAATTTCTTTTGTTTCCTGTCCCAAGTAGTTCATCTTACGTCAGTGACCACTCGACAAATTAAAACCATATAAGCTAACTAAAGTGATAAAACAATTTAAAAACTTTTTCGTATGCCCGATTCTCCAGCATTTTACACTGACAAAGATGATGATTGGTGGCCCCAAACGGACTTATGAAACTAAGAGAATATCTCAAATATTTCCCATATAGGCTGAAATGAACAATGGTTTTTATAGCAATATGCTGTCCCTTTAAAGCATATTGTTTTAATTTACATGTTATCCATTTCCTGAAATAAGCCAAGTATTTATGATAAATTTTTAATTGATAAGCTAGTTGTAAGGCATAAAAGAACTATATGAAACTCGCAACATATATCAAATATTATAAAGAACAACTTTCAAAATCCATAAATAATAAATAGATGATTAAGATATCTTGGGCACTGTCGCAACGTAAGACTACTGTTAGTTAATCGCATTTGATAAGAACAACGTTCCAGGCCCCATGATGTCCTAACTACTTTTTCTCTGGTAACCATGATTACGCATCATTGCCTGATATGTAATTTCCATTGTGGCAAATTTTTGCGAAGGATGCTGAGGTCAGGTTTAGATCACACATTTTGATGAACTTTCCACAGACCCTCCACTCTAGGGACGTCAGCTTCCAAGTCCATATATAAGCGGACAAAATGAACAAAAGTCCAGTGGAGCTGCATCGGAAGACTTGACAAGTCTGTATTTGAATAGAACTTCTGTGATTTCAGTTTCCTTGGTATCTTTGTCGTGGAAACAAGCGTTTATTTCGAGGTGTGGTTGAAAGCTTGTGAACCTTCGTTAGTGTCAAAGGCCTTGTTTAATGATAAGAGATATGATATCATCATTGCAGTAGCTCTTTAGATCAGAGGATTCTTTTTGTAAGTATAGTCTTCGCGTGCTGCAGACAATGGCATTGTTTATAACTGAGTTGGGGGCATGGTTTTCAAGCTTGTTGTTGACCTAAACTTTTTGCTAGTTGAGTTTTCTACAGAGATGTACTGTCTTGGACAACACTGAAGACAGTTTTATACAGAGATGTATTGCCATGGAGAAGACTGAAGACAGTTTTATAAAGAGATGTACTTCCATGGAGAACACTGAAGCTTAATTTCTTTCATGATTGTGCCCATCTGCTCTACATTATTTAACAATTTTGAAATATGAATAACCTTTCTGACGATATCTTTCAGCCGTATAAAAGCCATGGCAGCATTGCATTGTTGAATGTTCATTAATTCATTATGGCTCATATTTACGGTTTTATGCAAGGCACTGCATTAGCATATGTTATTTGTTCTTATTGAAGTTCTTATGATTGACCCTCTTTGTTCTTATTTACAAAAATGCAGTAAAATAATTTCATTTCAATACAGCCTGGCATAGCCTACTGGTTAAGGCGCTCAACTCGCAATTTGCGCTGTCAAAACCCATCGCGAACATGCTCGTAACTACCTTTAATTAATCTATTGCTTCAAAATTAGTGACAGTTAGCACAGATAATCTTCGAATAGTTTTTTGCAAAATTCAACAACACAAACATTTCCATAGAGGGTTAGCCAGCTCGAAGAAAACAAAACATGTAAATTGGCCAATATCTGAAATGTTTGATCATATGCGATTACTAGCGATTTCTTTTATCAATCACGAATTTTTATAAAACCTGGACTTGTTAGACATACTTAGCAAACGTAGCTCTGTGCATATTTGTGCAATATACTATATTCTAGACCCATCTTAGAGTTTCTGCTGTTTGTGCTATTTCACTTATTTATTGTTTTAGAAAATATTTTTCTTAACTAACGGCATTTTTTTTTCTCTTTCATTTGTTTCGTGGAGGAGTAGAAGGTATGTATCTTACTCATTCGTGATGACTTAGAACTTGAATTTTAAACGATTTAATTGAAGAAAGTATTTTAATTCTCAAATTGATGAAACGAATATTAAAAACTAGTATGAGTTTTCTAAGACTTTTCCTGACATGTCTTGTAGACAAGAAATTTCTTACACTCAGAGGTTACTTGTTTTTCGTACTGTTTATTTAAGTTAACTTTGTGGTATAACTTAAAAGTGAAGTGGCAGACAGTGTGTTGAACATATGAAATTTCGAAAGTGTTTATAATATACAAATTTCAGAACTAGGAAAATAATTGGAAATTATTTTGATTTTAGGACAATTTCTCTTAGTATATTCAAACTTATTAACATATACATAAGAAACTTGTGTTATTTCTGAATAGAAGTCATACTAATAGGAGTGTATGCATGGTGGAAGTGGTTCGTTTTTTTTTTTTAATTAGCTGGTTAAGCCTAATCAATTTTCTTTTAAACAATTCCATTGACTATCTTTTTCAGTTACAAGTTTATGATTGATTAGATTTAAATTTCCAACCTACTTAAATCAAAGATGACATATTCTTAACAATAAAATTTCATTAATCTGAGAATTCTCAGGGCTTATTGATAATTCCTATTTGGAATTTTTTCGAATTACATTGCTTTCCCCTTCTGGTCGTTCATTTTAGTTTATAGTAGTCTTGTGCCTCAGGAAGAGCTGACTTTTTATTGCTCTCTAATTTTTCTATCAACGGAAAATATATTCTACTAATGAACCCAGTGGTGCAGAGGTTATTAGTACGTTTACTTCGTCTTCAGGCTATATTACTCAACTGTGGCCAAAGCTTCAGAGAAGGGAGTACCAAGAATCAGAATCTCGCAGCTGACTCTCTCTCTCCTTCTTGCAAGGCTGATTTTGTGTTGCATTTTCCAACTGCCTCTTCTACAGTTAATCAACCCCATGATTGGTCTATTTCTTTTAGAACGTACAAGCATATTATTACTCGGACAGGGCACATAAATAATACTAAATGCCACATGTCGTACTCCACTCGATTGCCTCAACTCTTCCCTACAATACTCGGAGAAAAGTATTTCCAGATCTACTAAGGTTTTTCTGTTATAAAACAAAATGATGTCTCTATGGACCAGCATATTTTGTGAAATGTTGGTGCCATCATTTTATTTTTAACCTAATTTATGTGTTGTTGGAGAAGTATTAACCTTCAAGAACAGGATCAAGCTCTTACGTGAACTAAATACTAGTCCTTAACAAGACACATGCCACTGTATTTTATCTTCTTCACTAAGTGACATTTGCAAGTAGTTAATAATACATAAAAAGTTACAGTTAACAAATGTACAGTTCTCAAACATCACAAAAATATTATTGTACATTTATTCTTATAATGTCTTCGTATTGCGATTGCTCAACACATGTACCCGTTAACTTGGTTTTGTATGATAATTTGATATACCATATATTTCTAGGATACCTTTGCAGTGACTTCAATTCAAGACTTCTCTTTCCAGTGTTTCTTTGCACAATTAATGACCATAATATAAATTTTGTATTTTTAACTCTTAACCTAAAAATACATCTTTTCAGCATTATGTTGGCAGTAATGTGAACGACATGCACCAATAGATGTCCCGGATCTCTTCTCCTGTAACGTATATTTTGTTGGTTGTATGCATTTTTTCAACATAAATGAACTAGAAAGAATTATTTGACATGCTAAAACAATATTATACTGCTATTTAAAATTTTAATAACAAATACATATGTATATTAAATGTTTAAGAAGTCTAGAATTTTGTTCAAAATAACATTGATATAGTAAAACATCAGGGTTTATTTTTATTAGACAACAACACTGATAGGCCTCTTGAAAACTGCTCGTCTACTACGATTGGTTCGGGTGGCCAGGAAAATCGACCGTTACTCTGAGTATGGAGCTGCAGTGTTACTTTTGCTTGTGGCTACATTCTCACTAATAGCACATTGGCTGGCCTGTATTTGGTATGCAATTGGAAATGCAGAGCGCAACATAATGGAAAACAAAATAGGTTGGTTGGATCACCTAGCCAACGACACCAATGAATTCTACAACAATTCCCATGGAGGACCCAGCATCAAAGCCAAATACGTTACAGCACTGTACTTCACCATCAGTAGCTTGACCAGTGTGGGATTTGGCAATGTTGCTCCTAATACCAACATGGAGAAGATATTTTCTATCCTGGTGATGCTGATTGGATGTAAGTCAGTTTGAGTGACTTTTGAGTAGTACTGATTAATTTGAAGGTTTTGCATCATTGCAAATTAATTTGGTGAGTAGTGGTTGGTATAGAATGATGATTAGTTAATATTCGTTTCTTCATTTTCATTTTTGATGCAATGTCTATTGGTTACTTTTTTACAGTGTTGAATGTAATCTGATGAATTTCATTGTAGCTTTTTATAATAATCATGTTTGTATTATATAACACGATATATTTGCCCTTATATCTTGTGCTTATTTTTTGTTTGGATTATTTAACGCTTTGATTGTTACTTTAGTATGTTTATTCCTGCAAGGCACTTTGGGCTGGCGCTTAACCTCGCGACTAATTATACAAGTGTGATATTTTCACCAAATTTATTCGATAGAGCTACTAATAACTGCAGGGTCAATCAGGAAATTTTGGAGTTATCTGAATGTGAAAAGACTAGAAAAGTTTGGGAAAATTAACACCATGTTTATTAAATCCAAAGAACAAAAAAGCATGCATACTTGTTCTAACAAGTGGGTATTCACTTCTTCAAGATCGTTGATTATATTATCAGCTTTCCGTTTCTCAAGATGAACCTCTGGCAAACTAGTGATGAATAAAAACCAGATAGAACTAAGAATGAATAACTGCTCTAATTTTAAAAGAAAGCTTGCATTATTTTTCTTGTGAGGGTGTCACCACATGACTTTTGTTCTCTCACACCATTCATTGGCTGTAACATACAGCCATCATCCATTCAGCCAGTAAAGGACGTTGCAGTCATTGATCCTCCTAACAATTGTATAAAACATACTACAACATTCTCCAGATTAGATATAACAAAATTTTTTTTTTAAATTTACGTATTGCTAAAAGCAGGAACAAAACATATGATATACCTGCATATTACACTTTCTCACCCTTCTTTATTTCAGGCTTGACCTCAAGCTGAAAATTAAAATTAAACTTAAGATCAATACCTGATGATGACAAAACCTTGTCGAAACGTTGTACATTTGCTGTCATGTTAAACTTATATTAAAGTTTTTCTTCATTACCCATTTAAGCCGTCTCCAGCCATTATTAAGATCAATAACTTTTAAACTCACGTCATGATCAATGAGCACATTAACTTTCCTATGTACCTTAGAAAATGTACAAACCACATGGACGACACAACATTTAACAATGAATTATAACTCAAATACAAGATAAAACCCTTCAACTAAAATTTACAATTGAAATACAGATAATAATAAATCGAACTAATTAAAGGAAAACCCTTCAGGTACATTGAAAATACTAGACTCGTTAATATTGATTTAAAATGAAAATACAAAATGATGCAATATTAAAAAACCTTGTAACTAAAAATTTAAAAGGTACAAAATAATTTATAAAACACAATCCCTAAACAACAATTTAGAAGGAAATATAGTGCATAATATTGCATCACACAATAAATCAATTGAAACCGTTAATCAAGCTATCTAAACATATTCTCAGAGCTCACAAAAATACATTTTAAAATAAAGAACTAATGAAACAGATCCTTTGACAATGAACATGTCTATACCTTTAATACAGAAAAGCAATGTGTAAGTACCCATTCACATTGACATCGGCTGAAACTAATAAGAAAAGGGAAAGTAACTTAGCATGAAGAGATATCATGTCTACTTTAAGAGTGGACAGTATAACAAAATTAATTACAAAAACCTAAACTAAAAGAAGAAAAACACACAGAAAATCCCTTTAACAATGATCACATTTGTTAATTCAATGTTAATAGTTATTAAATTCCTTCAATACAGAAATTAATACTTGCATCAAAATCAGAAAAAACCCTTTAACATTGGCTTTTGTGTACAATTAAACAAAATCCTTCTAACACTGAACACAATCTTCCATTGATAAAAATTGTAATAAAATAAAAAGGAGAACATAAATTAAAAATATGTAGCCCTTTCTCATTAATGCAGGGTTGCGTGTGTGCAAATGGGTAGTGGAACATTAGTCTGTATAATACAAAACATGTATATAAGCAGAAAACCTTTACCTCCCTGCTCTGATTCACATATGCCACCATGCAAGAAAGCGCGAGAGCACATCATTACAAATCAAAAGTGACTTGGATATATACACAGTGTGCAATAAAAAATGGTTAGGCCCCTGTTTTCCACAAACTCTCATGAGTGCGAAAGGCATCCTTCAAATATAAATATTCGTGAAAAAAACAAAATTACAAAAGATACAAAAAATTGTTAGGCTACTTTCTTCCAAATACACTCATGAGTGCAAAACGCAGAGGACACTCTAAATTTAAATGCAGTCTACAAAATATACAAATTAAATTACAATATAGTATTTATATTCAAAATATACACTTACCACATAGTCCATCTGAGACTTTACTCTCTTTAGCAAATTATCTATGACTGCTGTCAATGCCTTCAGATCATCACTTTACTGAGGGCACTCTTGATGTCAACAAACCTCACTTACAGGTACATTTCCTCATGTCGTGTTGGAGGGGTTACCCACTGCCTCAGCTGATTTTTCCTGTTGTACAGGACCCAAGCCTCTGTCCAATTGATAGCCTTTTCCTTTGGTTTGAAGTTCCACTCTTGCCATCCTCTGTGATGGTTTCTGAGGTCTCTTGACCAATAGTGACATGGTCATCGCAACCATATAGTTCCAGATAATCTTCCAACTGCAACTTCCCTGGTCCTCAGTGTAGAGGTCCCTCATTCATGGTCTGAAATGAGGCTAGTTTACACCTGGCTGGCTTGATTGCATGGCCACAGACATGATGCTAGATCCTTCTTGAGATCTACTCCACCCTTGTCTTCCTGGGATGTGTATGGCCCTTGGGATGTAGCTTTATATGCGGTTCAATATATTAAAACTTTGCCTTTCTAATGGTTATAAATGATATAGTATAAAACATCAGAAATAATTATTGGCAGCTTGTGAAAGAGAGGATGTGACAGGTGGGTGTGGCAAGTGGGTCTGATTTTCTAGTTTATGACTCTGTAAACAAATTTGATTGAGGGCTATAAAAATTATGCTTTGTCTTAGTAATATTTGTATTCTAATAAGTAATTTAGTCAAATTCCATACTCGGAGAGGAGTAGTAAATAAAATAGAGAAGAGGGAAGACCTAGAGTACAAATGTCACGATTGTCGTACTAGGGTATATTGAGGACTTTTCAAAAATATTGTCTTATAAAATCAAGAACTTAAAACTTATATGATATTAATAGTTGATTTATTAACTTCATTTTGATGCCAAGTTTATTCATATACATTGATAATAAAGTAGTTTAATCAAATTTCGAATTTAACTCTGCAGAAGGTCGTGACATGTACACTTTGGTCCTTGAGTTACAAACACAACGTACGACCCTTACCAATTTACGTAACTAAACTTGTCATAACATTTACTATAAAATAATTGCTTCTAACTCTCTTGTTATGAACAAAACTAAACAATCATAAAATATTCGCTCACAACATAAATTAATCAATAATATCTACCCTAAACTGTCTTTTATATCATGACGCTTTCTGTATCTGCACATATTTATAACACATAACAAAAAATCTAGAAATATATATCTAGCCCTCTAGTAATAACATTACACATAACGAGAGAACTTAGAAGCTTCGAGTGAGATGACGTCAACTATATTACAAAAGCTTTGTACAACAATTAAACTACATACACAATGTACGGCTCATACAGAGTTATGCAAGAAACTTGTAATAACTATTGCTTTTAAAAAATTAACTTTTAACACTCTTGTTATGAAAACAAATCGCTAAATCCTAAATAAGAACTCTCAGACTAAACAGTCTTGTATATCCAACATCTTGTTTTTCTTGTGTTCATTTCTCATTGTTTAATTGATTCATTTTGCTAATATAATTTTAAAATCACTCCGTATATTGTTATATGCATATACTGTCATTACACTTTGTGAAGTACTCTAGTAGCTTATACATCTTACCTCCAAGTGCCTTGTGAACCACTTCAATAACACTTGATTCATCTACCAAAACTAAATATAGTATCGACATTAGTATCATATATGGGCCATAAAACTCAATTCATTTATATTTCAGGCTTCATAAAAGAAATAGTCACAAGTAAAATTTGGAGAAATTAATATTTTTTTAATAGTAAGTCTATTTACTAGTAATAAAATTCGTGCTACACTAATGTACTCAACACACACTCAGAGAAAGCAGTACTCCCTTGCTGACTGTAGATCCAGCATAATTCCCAAGTAAACTGATGAAGAATCTAGTGATTACTGGGTAGCATACTTCTAGAGTTCTCACCATTCAGCTAGGTTATTGAAGGGATTTTAACATCGGACAACATTTTTGCATCAGACAGTTTCACTCAATGGATAGAAAAGTGAGGACTGCAATGTACTTTTCGTCACTGTTTTTCAATCCTAACTGTTGATAATTAATTAATATTTTTTACAAAGTAGTACATATATTGTACCTCAATATACCACTCGATAGCCTCGAAAGTAAAGCTCTTACAGTAATTGTTTTCTGGAACAAACAACTAACCTAATTTTCAAATTCAGATGGAAATCACACAATATAATGCATTACACAATGTGCGTAACGTGATAACATGGAAAGCAAGGAATGCTACTTCTTTTCAGTCTGTGTTCATACAGATCAACAACTGTTCTAACTGGTGATGATCAAACAGCTGTCATCTGATATCTGGAGGGTATCTCATATTGTGACTCTCTCACAATTCCCACAGTCCTGGAAATCCTTGAAAAGTTTTAAATTTTTGAATACTATTTCCAGGCCTGGAAATATGATGGAAAATTCTGAAAGGTTTTGGGAAAGTTTTGAAATTTAGACAAGGAGCTGCCTCAAAAATTGTAATGAAGTTTAAAGATAACATAACTGTTTGAAAACATCAATTATCAATGGGAGGACTGTTCTACCATGTGCGCACGTGCATATTATCATCAGATATGCTGCATGGGTCCGAGAACATGATCACTGATCTGTTTGATACTGTGATTTAAGTGGGTAAATAGCTGTTTTTTAAATACTTTGTTAAATATTGGAAGAATGGCTATAAAATATTAAAACTAATAATATTTGTATTAAGAGGTTA